TGTGTGTGTGTGTGTGTGTGTGTGTGTGTGTGTGTGTGTGTGTGTGTGTGTGTGTGTGTGCGTGCGTGCGTGTGTGCGTGCGTGTGTGCGTGCGTGTGTGTGTGTGGCAGTCAACATCCCCGAACTCTCTCTCTCATTCCATCCACACAGTGAGGCAAATGGCAGCAAGCCGACAAGGCATTGGACAACAAGCACTTGGAAGGCACATAGGGTGGCGGACATGGGGGAGGCGGGTGGGCAGACAAACGGCACAAAGCAACAAGGGAAAAGGCACGGAGTATAGGTACCAAATTGAAAAAACAAAGAGTGAAAGATTCAACCCTGAGGGGATAAGCTCAACCTGGCATAGGTAGGCTGGGATAGGTCGGGGAGGAAAGCGTCCCGTAGGTAGATAGGCGCAACCCATAAGCTTGCTTCCCATCATCATTAGATTGAGGTAGTACTGGACCCTTGTCCTCGCCGACTCCTCGGTCAATAAATTAACGAGGCCAAGTATTGCTCGACCCGTATGAAAGGATTCACGCTGCAGACACCCCAGTCCCGGTCCTAGAGTCCCAGTGTCCCAGTCCCAGGCTGTCCCAGTAGGATAGGCCGTAGGGTCTGTGTCCAAAGCATCGTAGGTTGGAAGGTGTCGGTACCGAAAAGTTCTGGATCGGTAGAAGTCCGTCCGGCACCCAGCACAGCGCTACCATCTTCACCCGAATAGAACGCCCGGTAATTATGGCCGTATCTGGACTGAAAAATGCATCAAATACAGCTATAATGACCGGACGTTCTATTCGGGTGAAGACGGTAGCACGCAGCAGGTGTGAGCATTCACTCTCCCATGCACAAGCCACTTCCCGAATCCTTCCTGCTGCCCAGCGCTTTCCTATATGGGAAGTGGCTGGGCCCTTACCCCAGTCAGCCTCTTGTGTCCGAGTTTCCAGTAGCTTCGGATTGGGCCAAAGTGTCTGTGCCCAGGCCCACTCACACAGTGACCTGGGACCGAATCGGTTAGGCCAACCCAACCACCCAGGTGTAAACGTGAGGCTGTCTTTGCTTTGCCTACGCTGCTGGAAGAGCCCGGAAGGCTCACGAACATTTGTGATTTTCACTAGCAGAGCGGATGTAACCAACTGGCGCGTGTCAACTGTCTGGTGCCCACCAAGACTTTGCAAAATTGAAGAATTCAAGGTTCATCTAGATTCAGGGGCCCGCCTTCACTTAGGGCGGGCACGCGTCTGCTGCAGGGGCCTTATGCAGGTCTGCCGAGGGGTAGAATCCTCGCAAAGTATTTTAAATTTTAATTGATTTTTTTTTTTTTTCCTTTCAATTTTGCCTCGGATTTGTGAGGAAAATTGGTGTTTTTATTGTTTGTTCAAAAATGTGTCATCGAATTGTCAAAAAATTGAAAAAAATGCAAAAAACAAACAAACAAAGCAGGTGGTCTTGTTAACGTTTTATTTTATACATTTATTTATAGTACTGGGTAGCACGGCGTGCGTGTATGCGTGAGTTCCGTGTACATGAGTACACGTACTCCCATGTAGCTTTTTTTTTTTTTTGAAAGTTTTGGCTTGGGCTTTCCACATGACTCCCATGCAAGCATTGTTTGTATTATTATGCTGAACAGTGAATACAGTGCATAACATATCTTTTCTTCCGATGTCCTTTTTTTTTTTTTTTTTTTTTTTTTTTAAGAGTTATACATACATCGTACATGTGTGTTTTTGGAGCTGCATACACGTATGGGAGTATGTATGTGTGAATCAATAGCAATACGGATATCTACGCGAAACGAATTCGGAGGAGGTGATAGCATGAATATTAAATTTGTGTGAATACCCGTATGTGTGCAAAGTGCTACCTAAATTTATACTATTTATGGTATGAGACTATGAGTTTTGCAACTTTTGCCCCTTTTTGAGTCCCTGAAGTCAAGAGTTCAATTTTTTTGACACAAGCACTGTGATGTTATGGATGACAGAGGAACGGGATCGGAATCCAGAGAGTCGAAAACTGATATACCCAGGGCAACAGGGGAATGATGATGCACATGCTTTATACGTGAGGTCTCACGGAGACTTCTATCCGGGTGAGTTCTCTGCCATACATACATACATCTGCGAGCGAGTTGAGCTAAAGATGCGAAACTACTCCATGTGCTTTTGTTCGGTCATGGTAAGATTTTTTATTTTTTTTCCCTTAGCTTTTTTCGTAAGATGATGGGGCCGAGAAAACAAATCAAAAAAAAAAAAAAAGATGATGGGCAAGCAGCTTTTTTCGTAAGATGATGGGGCCAAGAAAACAAATCAAAAAAAAAAAAAAAGATGATGGGCAAGCATAGGACACCTGCCTTCCATTCTGTCTTTTTCCCAGAAAATAAAGTTAGGTAACACCGTAGCAGTTGACATTTTTATGAAGGTCTGTTTTTTTTTTTTTTTTTTTTTTTTTTAATTATTATTATCTAGGCTACCAGCCGGGCCGCCCGGGTCCCGGGTGGCCAGCCCGTGCAAGGACCAGGGAAGGTCCCASCAAAAAAAAAAAACAAAAAAAAAAATCAAACAAATCCGAAAAAAAACTATATTATGCAGAAAAATAAACTGAACAACTTTTGCCTCAGGGTCACATCGAAATTATGCACCAAATTTAGGAAAAAAAATCAAATTTAAAAATATTTTTATTTTTTATATTTTTTTAATTGTTTTTGGCCCGGCCGGGCAAGTGACCCCGGGCCACTCTGGTAACCTAGATTATTATTATTATTATTATTATTTTAAGGTCTGTTTTTTAAGATGGGCCGATAGGTGTTTTTTTTTTTTTTTAACCATCAGTACTTGGCCCAGCTGTCAGCTGGGGGGAAACGTTTCTAGTCGGATGAATTTGGGCGCTCCTGTAGTGGCCCGTACGTTTCCTAAAATTGTGGCTTGTTAGCGGCACAACTTCAGGAAAGTACTGATGGTTTAAGGCTATATAGTAATATGTGCTCCAGTCTCCAGTCTATTGGTGGGGACTCGGGAGCATAGCTGTTGGGTGGGGGGAAGCAAAGCTGTTGGTTAGCAGGAAAATAGACTTTTCCCTGAGAGAATGGGTTACAACTCGGAAAAGTTGCGCACAGGCTCTACTGCCGGTGAGTGCAAAAGTTTGTCAAGTTTGTCAACACGTGTATTCAGCGAGCCGCCACCCCATAACAACACTCCAAGGATTACATGGGAGAGAGAGGACAGTTTGAGTGAAAAAATCGCCGAAAATAACACCCTCCTATTAACCAGGTGTGTTACATGGGGGCTAGCTAACTTGCACCTGCACCGAGGGTAACCCTGATCATCCCTGTGATTAAGCCGCCACCCTTGCTGGGTGGGTGGCCAAGCAAATTCAAAATGCCCAATTTGTAACCAGCAGGTGCCAACCAGGCTTGGGCGGTGGTTTACGTCGCTTCGACCCTGCACCAAATCTGCTGCTAAACCTGCATTCCGGACCTGCACCCTCATGGTTTGAACCTGCACAGGCAAGCTGCAACCCTAAAGAGTTTTACGGGCATCTGCACTCAGTTACCTTTACCCTGTTGTTTGATTTCTGTGTCGCTGTTCCAAGGCTACCCTGAACCTGCACCCTAACCTGCACCCTAACCTGCACCCTAACCTGCACACCGAGCCTTGAGTCATAGCTGCACAGTGCCCTGTTCCCCTAACCTGCACCCCAGGCCTGCACCTCGCACCTGCACCCTCAACCAACACCCCGAACTTGCACCACAAACCTGTGCCCAGAATTTCCACTTGAAAAACAGCACCCCGAACCTCTGGCGAGTCTGCACCGAACCTACAGCCTGAATCTGTGTGGCAAAAGCGGAGCGCCAAACCTGCACCGCAAATATGTGTCCCATAACCTCCTCCCCTCTAAATGCGCACCCCAAACTTATGCCGACCCTAAGTCGTCTCTGCACTGAAGTTACTCTGACGGTCTTACCCTTGTACTCAGATCATCCAACGCTGCTCCAATGCTACCGTCTTCGCCCGAATACAGCATACTGTCATTTCTTTTGCTGTATCTAGACTCAAAGTTGCCCCATATGCAGCTATAATAACCATACGTTGTATTTGGGTGAAGACGGCCCCAACCCTGTACCAAGGCTGATTCAAATTATTCGGACTCTTCTTTTTTTTTTTAAAGAACTTTTTGCATGCGAGTTCTGTCAAGGATGTTTCTGCAGGGGAGTCCAGTGGTTGGCCCTGGCAGTATTTGACTTTTTTCGACAGAACAGATCCTCAGATGTCCCCACCTTCCGGGCAAAAGTGCTCGGGCGGGTCTTGAACCCAGCACCTGTCGCTCATGGAACCGCTTGAGCTAACCGCTCAACTGTGTACACAACTATACCCATCAATCATACATCTGCTACATTGTCTTTTTGTACCTTTGATTAGTTGGTTGACGGACTGCTAACCTCACAGACAGATTAGTGTAGGACTGTTGTATGCTGCCATAGCCAGTTCTAACTAATATTGCTGTAAGTGAACCAATCAGGGTGCATCTAGACTATGTAGACAATCTGTGTGAATGTTGTAGACATGCCACTTGATCGGTACAGTAGGGGACTTGCCGGACACAACCATATTTAGAAAATTAGGTGCCGGTCAGACACATGCTGTGGTAGGATTCCATTAGGGGGGGTTCTAGTGCAGATAATGTTTGCCTAATTGATGAACGGATCAGACGTCGACGAGGAGGGAGTTGGCGATAGTAGACTAACACGTGCAAGATCAATTAGGATCCCGTACGTGTTCAGGACCCTAGACGAGGGAGACGAAAGACGGCTTCGTGCCGAATGGAGAGCCCGTGCTCTCGCAGCATCGAGAGAGGCAGCAAACGTTGCAGCTAGGGAACAGGCTGCAGCAGCAGCCAGGGCAGCAGCCATGTCTTCTGCAGCAGCATCCTCCGCTGCAACTTCTGTTGCCTTCTCGTTTGGACCTCAGTTGGGAATGCCAACAAGGCCCGCGGGCACTTCCAGTTCAACAGGTTCTAGACAGTCTACAAATCAAATGGCGGGCTCGCAGTTCAGCCCATTGACTCCTTGCGAAAGGGACATGAGGGAGCTCCAGCAGGTCGAAAGGATCCGTGCACAATTAGAGAAGGAACTGAAAGAGGCTACCTATAGAGAAAGAGAGATAAAGAATAGAACAGCCAGGCTTGAAACGTTAGAGTCTGACAAGGCTGACTTGGAGGGCTTAGATGACTCAGGAATGAATGAGCCCATGAAAATGTTGAGGAACAACATGCTGTCGCTGCATGCGCATGTGGACAGCAGGTTGGACTTCATGCAGAGCACTTTGGACCAGATCCTGGACATCCTAACAAGGCCAGGATTTAGGCCACCAGCCCAATCGCCGCTGCCGTTAACGGCGATGTCAGGCCCTTTTCCAGTTCAAGCTGGTTCACAACCAAGTGGTACGTCTGCAGCAGTCTCCCAGACTGTTGCGTCTTCTTCTTCGGGTCCAGCGGTGATTGCTACATCACCACAACAATCTGTTCAGCAATCTGGACAGCCGCAAGGTCAATGGTATCCCAAGACCCCGATGAAACCGCCTCTTGCCTTCTCAGGCGAGAGAAAGGACGAGGAACTCAACACATGGTTGAGAACGGTCCCGGTTTGGGTGAAGGCAAAGAGGACCTTGCCTAAGGACGAAGTGGTAACTGCGGCATCTTACCTAGAGGGTAAGGCAGCCAAATGGCTAGATGGGGTAGTTGTGAAAGCCGGGTACGGGCGACGCATGGCGGACTGGGCCAAGTCTTTGACTCTAGACCAGTTCATGGAAACGATAGAAGCTCGATGGTATAACCCACAAGAGGCTCAAAAGGCCACTGATGCCATTAACAAACTAGACCAACGCAAGTTCAGGTCAGTTAGAGAGCTTACGACTACCGTTGAGAGCCTGATCCTCGTCCCAGAGAACATTAGGAACTTGCTAGCCAGCTTGGCACGCACTGAGTACCACTCGTTTGAGACACTGTCTAGGAAAGCCTTAGACTTGGAGGCCACGCTAGGCAATGCTCAACCCACCTCAGGGAATGACTCAAAGAAGAAGAAGAGTCCTCAGGAGTGGAAGAAGAAGGGGACAATCTAAGATCAATTTCTGACAAGTTGCTTATAGAGTTTAGATGGTTGCACTTCGTGCCTAAAGAGAACCCAAAGGAAGTTGATGATGGTTGAGTCTGATGGGACTCAAACTGAGATCGATGAACTCTCTGACCTGATGGACTACTCAGAGTATGACGGCGAGGAGGTAGCTGAGGGTAGCACCCTCGCCGCGGTAGTAAAGACTAAGGCGGCAGGCCGAGGGAAGGGCCAGCCTAGGGGTCAAGGGAAGGCCGCCTCCAATCAAGCTGAGTGGGTAAAGGCGGGTCTTGAACAAGACGTGTGGCATGACTGTCGAACGTGTGGTGCTTGTATCAACTGCGGGGAGTACGGACACTCGCAATACAAGTGCCAGAACGCTAAGGTTATGCAGAAGGTAGCTCCAAAGATGGGGGTAACCCACTCCCAGGCTTCTAGCTCGGGAAACACGTAGGGTCAGTGGAAGTATTAGCCGCTTCGACTCAAGATGAAGTGGGATTGATACCCTCCCCACTCCATGACAAGGCCAAGGCTAATGACCCCTTAGTCACCCCGCAGATACAACTAGACCGAACTATGCTCTGTACGTTAGATGTGTCTGAAGCCTTAGAAGACTTAGAGAATGAGTGGTCAAACAAGGACCCTCGTGAGTCTTGGGTGGCACTAAGGAAAGGTCCTAGAGGGGAACATTTCGTGGTGGAGGTCGATGTAGGAGGCCGCAAATGTGGTGCCTTCATAGACATAGGCTCCACGCGGAATTACATAAGTTGTGACCGTTTGGAAAGGCTGCACCTAAAGGACCGGGTACGGCACCTTAGTAGACCAGTAGCATCTACTTTGGCCAACAAGGAGCGCATGATTGTAATAGACTACATCAAGGACGTAGTCTGTACCACCTCCTATGGAGGAGGTGAGCTTAACCATAAGATCTCGTTTTTGGTTAGCGACGACTTGCCATTCGATATGCTGTTAGGCATGTACTACCT